AGTTTGATTTTAATTTTAAGATCCCATCTCCCTCATGTTCTTAAATTAATTCATACAAATCCCTGATTAATAATAAAAGAACTTGCTATCAGTATTCAAAGCCCTGCCTGAGCGGTCATGGCTGAGAGGGCAGAAATCTGCTTGGAGCAACGAGAGAACCCAACTGAATTCTTGGCGTCTCAGTCTATGAATGTGTAAGCGCTTCATCTGTTCATGGAAACACAGTGTTCTGGCAAGCTGGGGGGAAAGGTAGCTGCATGGGTGACAAACTAGAAGAGCTGGGAAGCCATTCTACATCAAAGCAACTGCATGGTAGAAACAACACATTTTACAAGTGTTCCTTTTATTTTCACAAAAAAATTGTGTTAGTGCAACACTCTGAAGCATTTATCTCTATTTCTACTGTACAGTGATCATTTTAGAGGTTATATGGACTGACTTTGAGCACTATTTTATAAAAGAAACTGTTGCAAATTAGAAGATAATCCTAGCAGGGCCAAGTGGAAACTGCTTATCCTTTTTAAATTCAGGGGTGAAAACAACACCCTTCCAGACCTATATGTCAACTTAGCAGTTGTTGAACAAGTAGATGAATGTCTCCAAGGTTTAATTCCTATCTTTAAAATGAGAACAACATTTGTAGGGTAATGAGTGAAAATATTCTATAAACTGCAACAAATACTATATAAAGTATTATCATTTGTTATCTGAAAGGTGTAAAATTCTAACAGAGATAACACAGTACATACACACTACTTTCCAGTGAAAAAGTGATCCTGAAAAGTTAAGTGTGCTTCTGGTTTCCAGTTTCATATGTAAGGAACTTGGAAGTTACCTTTCTGTTATTACAACATGTAAAAAGTTATAATGACTAAAAAATTAACTATTTTTCTTGGATCCATAAGAGAGAGGAGGACATAGGGTAAACTAAGACTGGAGAGACTGACAGGAGAATATAGGGAATTTCGATTTCCCAGAGCAGAGTCTCATTAATGGAGAGCACTAGGAAACTAGGGCCGGATTGGAAAACCTGAGTTGCAGTTGATGAATTGCTGGGGGCTTATTACAGACAATTCACAGGAGATCTAGTGTTGCTAGGTCCACCAGTATTGTGAGATTCACTTCCAGGAACTTGACTAGGTTCCCACAGTAAATATCTGGGTGGGGGAGGAGGGGACCACAATCCCCTTGAGCTTCTGGCAGGAGGAGAAGGAAAGAAACCATTTTGAAATATCCAGAGCACTGGGAGCACTCTGTTCTTAAAAGGCATAACTGACCTGGGAGAAGGGAAGAACACAAGTCTTGTCCATTCTAGCCAACCTGTCCCACAAAAAGGGAGAAAAACATCTGAAAAATACTTGTGATACGAATTCACAGCCCAGAAGTAGACATACTATAGGACCACAGAATACTTTCCTTTGCCAACATGTCATTACTAAAGGCCTATTTATAGAAGTTATTTTTACCCAGCACACCATGCTCAAGATTTTATGAGGGACACCAAAAAGCAAAACGCACAATTTGAAGAGACAAAGCAAGCATCATCATCAAATATGGCAGGGATGTTGAAATTTAAAACTATAAATGATATGCAAAGGGTTGTAAAGGATAAAATATACAGTATGTAAGAACAGGTGGACAGTGTACACAGAGAGATGTAAATCCTAAAAAAGAAACAAAAAATGTAGTGATTAAAAAAAAACCAAACCATTGTAACAGAAAAGAATGCTTCTGATGGATTTTTATAAGACTAGAGACAGGTGAAGAAAGAATCTCTGAGTTACAATATATATTCCTCAGGAAAAACAAACAAAAAAGCAAAGAGAACAAAAAGAAAAAAAAATCAGAATAGAATATCCAAGTTTTGTGAGACAACTTATACAAATTATACATAACGGGAATACCAGAAGAAAGAAAAAGAACAGAAGAAATATCTGAAACAATGTCCAAAAATTTCCCCAAATTAATGCTAGCACTAAGAAGCTCATGGTACATCAAGCAGAATAAATGCCTAAAAACCTACTACAAATGACAGATGTATCAAATTCAAATCATAAATTCAAAAAGACAAATTGATTTTTGAAAGAATACTTGAATTGAAAATCAAAGATTAAACAAAAATTTAGACTAATAAAAAAAATTACATTAGACTTCTTTTCAGAAACCATACAAGAAAGAAAGAGTGAAAATAAAATTTTAGGTATTGAGGAAAAAAATACTAGAATTCTGTATCCTGAGAAATTATCCCTCAACAGAAAAGGAGAAATACTCTCTTAGACAAACAAAAATTGAGGGAATTGCTGCATGTAGACCTTTCTTGTAAAAAAAAAAAAAGTTGTTTTTAGAGATAAGGAAAATAATAAAGGTAAGAAACTGGTTCCACACAAAGGAAGAACACTCAAGAAAGAATAAGTGAAGGTAAAATAAAAACTTTACTTTTTTTTATTTTTCCCTGTTCTCAGACATTGATTTGTTTAAAATTATAATAGCAATAGTAGTCAATTATGTATGCTTGAGTATATATGTTATCTATATATATCTTATGTATATATGTAAGTATATGTGTTTATGTATACAAATATATGCTTATCTATGTTTACATTTAAATGAAATGAATAGCAACAATGATAAAAGGAAGAGGAGGGAGGATTTAGGACTATTTTCTTATTATAAGGTATTCACAATACCTGTAAAGTGGTAAAGTGTTCTTTGAAAGTGGACTTGTACTAGTAGTACATTTACATTGCAAACTCCAGGGCAATTACTCAAAAAGGCAAGTATAATTGATTGCTATGTTAAGAAGGGAGAGAAAATTAAACTGCTAAATTAAAGCTATGCGTAAATAAATAAAAATATATCTCTTAAAAAATAAAAATAAAAAGCTAAAACTGGAAGCTGTGTGTGATATAACTATGTCAGGAGGATAGGAAGAGAGGGGAAGATGAGTAAAATAGCTAAACCCTCATATAACAAAGAAGAAAATCAGTAATGTCTAAAATTAGAAAATCATGAAACAGAAGAGTATTATTCAGAATTATGTAGGTAAATTACAAAAGCAATGGCTGAAAGAATTGAAAACTTTTGTCCTGGGGGAGCTAAAGTTAAATGTGAAAAGGATGCTGGTAAGGAAGTACTCTTTTTGTTACTTGAGTTACAGCACAATTTGATTTTCTTTCAATTATTTACATGTTCATGTTTAATTTTATAAAACTCTTAACTTGGGAGCACAAAAATGAAAAACAACAATAAAATCAAAAGAGAAGTAATCATGCCTGATCTACTTTTTAAAGTGACTTCTGATCCTGTGAGGCAAAGAAGAGACCTCTAGTTGGAATCAGAAGACCTGGTCTCAGCATTTCACAATCTGGCTTCTACTTTTCTCTAGTCACGTCTTTCTTGGCTTGGTTTTATGTTTTAGTGGAGAACACAGAGTATTGCATACAGATCTCCCTTTACTGGTTTTACATTTTCAGTTTCAGGTGTCACTGAGGATATGGAGGGAAGATGTTTAAAAGTATGATAGTATTAAGTAAGATAGTATCAGATAGTAAACAGTATAGTGTGCTCTAATTAGTACATAAGTTGACTATCTACTCCACACATTACCTATGATCACTATCAGTGCATGTCCTCTTCCCCAAAATTGTCACCATTTAATCCTTTCAATCATGGTTCAAGTTTGAGATAAAAGATTAACAGTGAATTAGTAAATTTGTTTCTTTTTAGCATTTATAATTCCGGGACAGTTTAAAGTTCAACATGTGAACAGTTTTATTCACAAAGTAATCAAAAAGTAGTATTTGTATAAAACAATTTAGATTTATCATAATTCACAGTTTTCTAAAAATATATCTATTAAGCAAAAGATAACATATCCGTTTAATATGTGATAGAAGACACTAGTGAGTGATAAATATTTTTATATTACTTATAGATTTCACTGATGTTAATGGTTTCTCCCTTTATCACAAACAGATAGCAGTTATTTGACTGTTCTAAGTTTTAGCTAGTAACTTCCACAACATGGCTAGAAAATGTTGGATAAGATACAGAAAGTATCTTATATGACACCATCTCATATTGATATACTGATAGAATCTTTTTTTTTGGTTATTTATTTATTTATTTTATATTTTATATAATTCTTACATCATTTTTCATTTTTGCACAATGTATGCATTTTCATTTTGGTTATATTCCCCATACAATTGCACCCCCACTTATTTTGACCCTAATCCTTCCTCTCCCCGCCCCTGCCCCCCCGTAGTGTGTCTCTGGTTTATAGTTGCTTGTTGATTTTGATTTTTACTTTGTATTCATTATAGCAGCACTATTTACATTAGCTAAGCTATGGAAACAACCCAAATGCCCAAAAATAGATGACTGGATCAAGAAGATGTGGTACCTATACATAATGGAATATTACTCAGCAATCAAAAAAGATAAACACATGCAGTTTGCAGCAACATGGATGGAGCTAGAAGGGATCATGCTCAGAGAAATAAGTCAAAAAGAAAAAGAAAAATACCGGATGGTCTCACTCATAGCAGAAATTTAGAAAACCAAAATAAGGGACCAGGATATCCTGATATATTCTTAACCATACTGGACTTTGAGTTGTTGTCCATAGGCCTGCCATTTAAAAAAAGGGCTCTGGAGGGCCTCCCTGGTGGCGCAGAGTGTTAAGCACCACACTATGGGGCAATCCGCAGCCTCTGCAGAGCGATTTCAATCCCTGGCCAGCCAGAGAGAAACCCACATGGCGAGGCAGACCTCTCCTGTCTCGCCCGCTGTTCCCCTTGGCAGTGTGTTTTGGTCAGTCTGCCTGTTCTGTTCCCCACTTTGTTTCTGGTGAGTACTCTCGTACCCCCGAATCTCTGGCCTGTACCCCAGCTCTTGTATGCATAAATAAATAAATAAATAAATAAATAAATAAAATAAGGCACTGGAACAGAACCACAAAGCATAAGAAAATATTTAATAGGACATGTTTTTCATACCTCTTCATCTTTTACATTCACATCCACACTTTTTGATTTGATGGCTTTAGTTACACGGTCAATGTTGTTTTCCCTGCAGTAATCAAATATGTTTTTGTCTTCTTCCCTAATTAAAATAAAAAAAAAAAGCATTTATCTTACTGGGTAATACATAAAAGTTACATATTTCAATACAACCCCTTTGCTACTAACAAACATTAATAGAAAACTGGGTTTTTTTATATAGAATTTTACATGAACAATAAAGGATTTTCAACAAGAACATAAATCACCCAAACTCTGAAAACAGTAAAGTTCTTAGCAACATAATTATAGAGAAAAGCTTCACCTGCTTTAATGAGTTACACTAGTAAACTAATAAAACATCTTGAAGTATACTTCTCTGTGCTCTTTCTTTTTTTTTTTCAGTTACTGGCACATATTTCCTCTGATTCAGAATTTTGAATCGTAACACTGCATGCAGTAAGATTGCAGTTTCGGGTATTTCATTTATATTGTCTGTAAAGAGGTATCAAAAGATCAGGACACAACTTACTACTTGTATTACAGGATAACAGAGTAAGTTGGTTACTTGAGTGGGGGGTGTGTGTGTGTGTGTGTACACATATGTACTATATATATACTTACAGACATGTACACACACCCACAAATAATTTTCCTAAAGGAGAGGTAACTAGAAAAAGGCAACACAAAACCAGAAATCCTTCCTGAGATAACAGAAGCAAGACTGGGAACAAAAACTGGAAAGCACACTATGTGCCCACCACTGTTCTATGCACATTACATGTACTAGTTCATATACCCCAACTTTACACTTTATAGATGAAGAAACAGAAATTGAGAGATTACATGACCCTTCAAATGGGGCCTCCCCTGGTGGTGCAACGGTTGAGCGCTGGGCTGCGAAGCTGGTTCGATCCCTGGCCGCTGGTGAGGGTCCCATAAGGCGCGCATACCTCTCCTGCAGCGCCTGCTGCTCCCCTCAGCAGTGTATTTTGTCAGTCTGCCTGTTCTGTTCCCAGATCTGGCTCTGGTGAATTCTCTCACCCTCCCGTGCTTCTGACTGTACCCAGTGCTTGTATAAATAAATAAATAAATCTTCAAATGGCACTGCTTTTTTTTTTTTGACAATCTTTTATTTTTTTATGAATTATTTAATTTTATATAATTCTTACATCATTTTTCATTTTTGCACAATGTATGCATTTTCATTTTGGTTATATTCCCCATACAATTCCCAACCCCTTTTTCTGACCCTAATCCCTCTTCTCCCCCTGCCCCCCACTGTAGTGTGTCTCTGGTCTATAGTTGCTTGTTGATTTTGATTTTTACTTTATTATAATTAGTCTTTTCCCTGATCCCTTATTTAGGTTTTCTAAACTCCTGCTATGAATGAGACCATCCAGTATTTTTCTTTTTCCTTCTGGCTTATTTCACTGAGCATGATCCCTTCTGGCTCCATCCATGTTGCTGCAAATTGCATGAGTTTATCTTTTTTGATTGCTGAGTAATATTCCATTGTGTATATGTGCCACATCTTCTTGATCCAGTCATCTATTTTGGGCATTTGGGTGGTTTCCATAGCTTAGCTATTGTAAATAGTGCTGCCATAAACACAGGGGTGCAGGTGCCCTTTTGAATTAATGTTTCTGTGTCCTTTGGGTAAATACCTAGGAATGGAACTGCTAGGTATTTATATGGAAGCTCTATCGTTAGTAGGTTGAGGAATCTCCACACAGCTCTCCATAGTGGTTGGACCATTTTGCACTCCCACCAGCAGTGCAGGAGAGTTCCTTTTTTCTCCACATCCTTGCCAACAGTTGCTGTTGCTAGTTTAATATGTGCCATTCTCACTGGTGTAAGATGGTATCTCATTGTAGTTTTGATTTGCCAAATGGCACTGGTTTTATCAAAGATAGAATAAGAGCTAGCACTCACTCAGATCAACTCATTTTACTATTGTACACTTTTCTATTCAATTAGCCTATAGCTTGAAACTTGTCAACTGTATTCTATTCCAGAACCTAATGCACTTCTTAACATGAGGTCTATGAATTCTCTAAAATGGTATGCAGAATTATCTGTGTAAATGCTTCTGCATTTGTTCTGAATGCATTGTGTGTACTTTTCAGGGGTTGGGTGGAGGGGGGAATGGCTTCAGTGAGATTCTCAAAAGGACCAGTGACTGCCAAATTAGTAACTTAGAATATTAATAATGGAAGTGTCCTATTCTGGACAGGCATAAAGGAATACAATTAGAGTTTCAAAAATTTTAACTAGTATGTTTTACAATCTGCAAGATCATAGCTTTAATTCATCAGAAATTAAATCAGCTGGTCACAGGAATCTTTCTGTCTTAAAAGTCAATTTAAATACCTATAAGTGCCTTATAAAGAGTTATTTTCAATCAGTTAATTATCTCAAAATATACTGCTGAGGGGTTGGGGGGAAGCGAATATTGTTTAAAAATGAACAATGATGTAAAAAATTAAAAAAATATATACTGCTTTGGCAGTATAAATATCTTCTTAAGCACTTGATGCATTTAATTGAGTACCTACTACATGCATGACACAGAGTAAGATTCTGCTGATAACACCAACAAGAATAAGCAAGAAACTCTGCATTCAACACAGTACAGTATAGCTAAGGTTATTAAATCTATACAACATTAACATGAGGTAAACCCTGATAAGTATACAGTGGAGGGTCAGTCTGATTTAAGCTGGAGAAAATAAAGTAAGTTTCAAGGAAAAAATCATGTTTAAAGGAATATACAGTCTCATGAAAATCTGTTTTGTAAAAGAGAAAATGCTTTTCCAGATCACTTGATCCGAAAGAAAATAGGAAAAAGTCTGAGGTCAAATCCACAGAAAGGAGAAGTCTGACTTTTTTTTTTTTTTTAAATGTGTGTTGATTTTTTTTTTTAAAGATCTATTTATTTATTTATTTATTTATTTATTTATTTATTTATTTATTTATTTATTTATTTATATAAGCACTGGGTACAGTCAGAAGCACAGGAGGGCGAGAGAATTCACCAGAATCAGAGCAGAGAGCAGAGCAGGCAGAGTGATGAAGTACACTGCTGAGGGGAGCAGCGGGCGGCAGGAGAGGTCTGCGCGCCATATGGGACCCTCACCCCGTGGCCGGGGATGGAACCAGCGCTGCAGAGGCTGCGGGCAGCTTCGCAGCCCAGCGCTCAACCACTGCGCCACCAGGGAGGCCCGAAGTCTGACTTTTAAAATTAATTAGCTATCATTGAAAACACTGTTTCTAGGAAGAGGGGTCTTCACAATTCCAGCTTGGGAATAAGTGACCTATTTTCCTCCAATCCAATAAAAGAGACCCCTCTAATTCAACTCTGAAAGAAAGGACTATGTCCTTTAACTTGTATGTTTTTGCCCAATAACAAAAATGTTTTGAATTTGAAAATAATTGGGAGTTGTTGGTGGGGTACAGAAAGGAAGGCACTCCCACTCTGGCTCTGGTGAATTCTCTCACCCTCCTACGCTTCTGACTGTACCCAGTGCATGTATAAACAAACAAAACAAACAAACAAAAAATAAATAAATAAAAACATGCCTCTATAAAAAAAAAAAGGGAAGGCAAAGAAATTCTTAGCACATGAGTTGCCCATATGCAATAATATATAAATGTTATTCCTAGATGACAGAACCTTCTGAGTGGTCCCTCTTCCTAAATCCAACTCCCAAATGTGGGTGTATATTCATATATATATACATTGCCATAAGCAATATAAAAAATTATTCAAACTTTCATATTTCTTAATATAGTTTCAATAATCTTCTTTTAAACATCATCTGTATCAATTATTTTATTTTGATATGTGAATTTTTGGAGGGAAGAAAGCATTTTTTCATCTGAATATCTGCTTATCACTTGTAGTTTATTATCACTAAATATGTCAGGCAGAGAAAGGTATTTGTAAAATACTTGGAGGTGGAATATACAATTTAAATATCAAAAAGAAATTCAGTAAAATCACCACCAATGTGCTACAAAACTGAGTGGCTAATATTTTTAAAATGCAATGATACTCTTGGTCTTAGTTGTTAAATATATTACTTTTACTTTACCCCATGCAACCAAGCTGTCTTTATGCAATGTTACCACCTACTGGTCAAATTGGAGAAACATCTGGAGCAACATCTTGTCCTCTAACTAGCTTATGTACAATATACAAATAAAACTTCTCTCTACAGCTCCTGTTAATACGGTCTTCCATAGGAACTCACCCTCTCCTAATTTTAAATGAAATGTGTAAAAGAATTCAACCATAACTAACATAGCAGAGACTTAGTGTCAGAGCCTTCCACATCTTCTCATTTTATCTTCCTTTCTCTCACAATTCTTACCTAGTTATCTTCCTCCTTCTCTTTGCTCAATGAGAGAAAATTATCATATTCATTCTCCATGGACGAGTATGAATAATATTTGTAATACTATCCTCAAGGATGTCCATATTACCCCTAATACAAGACAGGAAGTATCTCTTTGAATGACTCCAATTTTTCTGAAACTGCTAGACAATAAACATACACTTGAAAGGAAAAAAAATCAACTGGTTTTCTTCGAATTTTTAAAGAAATACGAGGACACACCTTTTATGGGAATTGAGCAATGGTTGTCTTTCATGAAACACAGAAGAATAAACAGATACTTGCTCATTTCTAAAAATGTTACTTATACTACTTTCTAAAAAGATTGCATTTCCTATCAAAAGAATATTTCAAATATGTTTCTTGGCAAGTAACCTAAAATACATTAACCAATATTTAATCTACCTCATAGAGTTAAAAAAACACATCTGGGATGAGCTCAAAAATCTGTTTAATAGGGCCTCCCCTGGCGGCGAAGGTGGTTGAGCGCCACGCTGTGAAGCTGTCCGCAGCCTCTGCAGCGCCGGTTCGATCCTGGCCGGCCAGCGAGGGTCCTACATGGTGTGGCAGACCTCTCCCGTCGTGCCAGTTGCTCCCCTCAGCTGTGTATTTCGTCAGTCTGCCTGTTTTGTTCCCCACTCTGTCTATGGTGAATCCTCTCACCCTCCTTCACATCTGGCCTGTACCCCGTTCTTGTATAAAT